GAAATGGTAAGGAGGGGATACATGGGAGGGTTTCAAGGGAGGAAACGAAAGGGAGAGAAATGATGTGGTTGTATTATGATATCAAGAAATAAAAAACTTATTTAAAAAGTTCTGAACAAAATTTGCTGTTTAAACTTGCTCTCTATTTTAAACCAGGGATGGCTGTTGCTCCTTTCATGTAACTTTTAGGCATTTTACCTATTCATCTTTGACAAATGACATTTTTAAAGAAATGTGAAAGTTAGATATTCTAACACCAGCTGAAATAGATGACCCTCCCCTTCCCTTGCTGCCAGGAGAGTTTTGCAAACAATCTCATCTGGGCATCTGAGATGAGGAAAGAACCAGATCAAAACTTGGGCGCAGCCATTGTCAAGATGAAGCAGAGATCTCCTTCCTAGGCACTGGCCGTCAGAAATTCATTCAAGTAGACGATGAGTGCAAGCTTTGTACTTTCTAGAAGCACATGGTCACAGAAGTAGCTGCTGATGCTCTGGTGAAGAGTGGAAGGGTTATGTGCTCTGAATCAGTGGTGGGAATGGCAAAGTTCTCCTCTGATGAAGCAAAGTGACTTGGCCCATGTCAGAGCATGCCTGCTGTAGAGTAAGGGCATTCTTGTCAAGTCTGTTCATGTATGTTTTGTGGATGCCAATCTTGGTGTTGTCAACTTGGTTACTGTAAAAAATGATAGAAGGACATTCCTGGTCTGTAGAACCAATGTGCCTGGGTGCATGGGGACCAAAAGAACTAGCAGAATTTGAAAGCTTTTCAAGCTCTCTAAACAAGATGCTGCCTGTCAAAATGGTGGCATACAGCTTTAAACAAAGAAGGCCAGAAACCTAGAGCCAAAGCACCCTGGATTCAACATCTTGGTATTCTAGTTGTCCTGTAAGACAAATACTGTTGTATTGCTCTAAAGAAACAGTGCACTAAGAAAAAAACGAGGAGGAGACTACAGAATATGCTAAACTTCTGGCCCAGAGAATGGTTGAAGCTAAAGAAAACACCAGGAACAGATTGCCAAGAGACATAGGCTGTCCTTGCAGAGAGTTTCTAAGTCTGATCCAGCCAAAAGTAAGTCTTTAAGAGTAACAAATAAATTACCAGACTTTGAAGAAAAAAGTTAAAAACTTGGAGGCAAAGCAAACCTCAAGATCTATCTTAACCTCTTTATTAAAGTAGTAGGAGAAAAAACAATCAGAAAACTTAAAGTAATCCAATAATACCTCATCCATCTCTGTTTCTTCAAACAAAAGAATCTACTACAAGTCACTGGGAGCTGGACAGTGGTTACAGACACTTTTCTCAACACTCCAAAGACAGCTGGATAAATCTCTGAGTTAGAGGACAGCCCAGACCATGGAGCAAGTTCCAAGACAGCCAGAGCCAGAGAAACTCTGTTTTGAAAAATCAAGCCAAACCACCAAACAACAAATTATTGCCCCCTTTCCCCCCAAAAAAAAACATGTCACTGGCTGAAAAGGAGAAAGGATCATGCTTTCAAAACTCAAGTGTCAAAGGAAGGCCCTTAAGAAAAGCCATTGCTTCTTTTAATTGCCCATTTCAATTTATCAGTGCATAATTTAACAAGCAAATGTACTAAGCAGTTATAGTATGAATGTCCTAAGCATGGTGAGAACCTTTCATCTGTACTGACTCTGCCAACACCTGGCAACAAATGTGTGCAGTAAAATGATACCTGCACTCCATTGATGAGCAGCTCTTAAAAGTGTCCTGCTTGGTATAAGGACAAGCCTCAGCTACAGCTCCCTTTGCAGGCAGGGGACAGTGGAAAATAGAAGGCAGGTCACTATGCCAAAGTTTGCCAGCGTATCAGCCCCAGGAATGAGAAGAGGTATGAAACTTGTACACTCTCATACACAATTGAGTCCCTTAGTATATTAAAGGTCATTTCCCATATGACGTAAGGGCTGGAAACTGATGGTAGCCCAGGTAGCTTTCTTTCTTACATGAATGATGCAAATAATACATGGTTTTGAAAAGCAAAGATTAAGTGAGGGAGATTAAGATTTTTCTCTCTGCCTGGACCTGTGTCAGACACTTTACTACTTCTCCCATGATAAAGGCATGCGTATAAAATCCAAGTAGGAAGGGGATTCATTGGAAGAAGACTGAGCAGGAGGAAGATGACAGGGGATAGGGGTGAAAATGGAAAAAAAAAAATCACCATATACATGTATGGAAATGCCAAAGAATGAAAAGAAAAATATGTTCATGTCAAGTTTGCCTGTGAGCTGGAAGGAGAGCTGTTACTGAGAGAGGAAGTTCATGTCAACCAGTACACTGTACTCAACCAAAGCGAAGGATTACTGGGACTATTTATTTGTAATAGATGACACAATTATGCAAAAGTATTTTGAAGTGAGTTCCAGTGCTGGTAAATGGGAATTTAGACATAAAAAAGCAGCACCTAGACCAAAGCATTTGTCAAAAATCTACTTGGTGGAAAAGAAATTCTGTTAGTGTTAGGAAATTTGGGAAAATAAATGCCATCTTCTAATTAAAATCCTAACAGAAAATGAGATATTCACAAAGGGTGGGCTATATTAGCAAGTTTAATTTAAAAATATAACTTGGAGATACATTAGGTTTGACTTTTATGTCTATCAGTTTCAGTTCTACATCTTCTTATTAAAGAAGGCAAAATTGACTAATGTTTGGATATCTGGAAAGGAAGACCTAGCACGAATATTTAAAACAACTGATTGCTAACTAATACTTTCTCTCCTGCCCTAGAAAGTAACAGCAGAATTAAGGTATGCTTATTTCAAAAAGACCCAGTGTCCTAGTCTTCCCTAAGTGAAGTGCTCCCTGCTATGAAAGCACCAAGGAAGTGTGGAATGTTCTACCTTCCGTGACTTCAAGAGAAAAACACAAACAATGTGAACTCAATGATCTGGGTGGAGCCAATCCTATGTGGCTCTGGGAAGAATCACATTCTAACCGTTCATCTAAGGAATGGCCACACTTTTAATTTAGGTACAAGGGTGTAATGAAAGTCCATTAAGATGACTACTCTCTAGCTTTAAAAAAAGCATCTTACCAGGGCTGGAGAGATGGCTTTGGTTAAGAGCACTGGCTGCTCTTCCAGAGGTCCTGAGTTCAATTCTCAGCTACTACAAATGGCTCACAACCATCTGAAATGGGATCTGATGCCTTCTTCTGTCATGTATTCACACATTCAAACAGAGCACTCATATACATAAATCTAAAAACAAAAAAGCATCTTCTAGGACTTCCTGGCTTCAGCACTGCTAACTTTTCAGACTGACTCTCTCCGGCAGGCCGTCTAGGGCTATTACAGGCTAAGTGCATCTGACATCCGGTCACTGCACAACACTGGCTCTTGCCCCTCTAGGCTATTACTATGCTGCTTCTTTCTTCCCGTTATTGTGTCTGCCCTTTACACTGATGGGCCTAACTTAAAATTGAATTGATACTTTTAAAATTTCTGTTTCTGTAATGTATTCAAGGTTAATACAGTTCTATGTAAATTTGAATGTTGCCATTTTGGAGGCAGTGTATTGTATCTATCAGTATAGAAATAAAATAATCAAAAGTACTTTGTTGATTTCTAAAGAAACCATCAATGAACAAAAAATACTACATGAGAAATGAGTAACAATATTTCAACAGTGGTGACAATGATAAAAAATAGGATATCACTTTAAATATTAAAGAAAAGTAATACAAATTAGTTTTATAGAGACAAAAGGCCCATAAAACTGTAATTTATGTATTTTGTGCCCTAGTTTCCAGTAGTTAGAAATAGTTAATGACTTACTCATTTAATAAACCTACTTACTAAATAATATGTTCAGTGTGTAAAATACTATAGAGACAGTTGCTACTGGTAGAATCAATAATAATTAACAAATTCATAGTCCTTATCCTTTAGTTTTGAGTTTAAAGAGAAAAAAAATTAGGTATTCAACTACAGTTTAAACACAATACTAACTAAGTACTATCATGGGCAAAAGTACAGAATGCTAAAGAATCCATCTAAATCACACATGTGAAAAATATCTCTATAAAGGTCAAGCGATGAAGGAAAGCCTTTAGTTTTTTCTTTTCTTAACACAGGGATAAATGATCATTTTTAAAAAATCACCTCTATTTATCTTGTCCCCCTGTGTGTATACATGTTCGTGTGTGGTGCATGTGGAGAACAACTTTGGACTCTGTTCTCTTTTCCCACTACATGGGTCCTAGCAATTGATCTCAGGTCAGGAGGCTGAATGGGAAACACCTTTACTCACTAAGTCACCTCACTGGCCTTAATGATCATTTTAAGAAACAGACTGAAGGTTATTACGCCATTTAAGTTTTTATTAACAATGGTGGCTTTTATTTATCCATGAAAGGACCACTATAAGATTTAAAAGAATTTACCAATTGATGCCCTGAAGCATCATGTGTGAATCAGGTATAAAACAGTCTATAGGCCTTCCTCTTAACACTCTAGCAGAACTAACCAGTTGTCCTAGTAGTTTGTTTCTGGCAAGGTATCCTATAAATGGCAAGCCTCGCCTGGTTTCAACCCTCTGCTCTCCAGGTTATCATAGAGTTGTGCAGCAGCTCTCTTCTTCCAGCTACATGCTCACTGGCTCCCCAGAGACAGAGGCTGGACAGGGAGGGAAGGAGCCAAGGACAGCAAAGGTTTCAAGCAGTTGTATCCTCTTTCCGCTGGGTGCAGAATAGATGTAGGCAAAGCTTATGCTCTCACTTCCTACAGAAACAAGGTAAATATGGGTGAGTGAAGAGTGTTATTTCCTTTCATTTGCCTCTTGTTACTGGAGATGTAAGTTACAGCTGGTTTCAGTGTGGCTGTGTACAGTCTTCTACCTGTCTCTCTGGGTACTGTATGTGAGATATCTATTTTCAGATCATATGAAAACTGGAGCAAGAAGCATTTAAAAGTACCAGGATCATTAATCCAGTTCCACAGCTGTTATACCAACACAGGTGGTCTATGATACCTGATATGACGATCTCAGGGACATCCAGAATGTTGCCATATGAAGCGGTTTTACGGTGGCCCCGTTTAGGCTTGGAATAGGCTGAAAAAACACACATGTACAGTATACATGCAAACAACCACAAACAGTAACACAGGAAATGACTGCAAAACAGAACAGTTCTGAAATAGTCATGTTAATTATATCTCATGCAGAATGGCATGCAGAACTATCTAACTTTTCATCCATGCTTAGGAAGGCGCTGTGAAAGAGCAAAAAACAGTCTAAGAGGTTTTACACACTGGTTTTAATTAGCAAGGCAAACAAACAAACAAACAAACAAACAAAAACCCGACAACAAATAAAGTCAGACAAAGTTGCAGGACAATGGAGAAGCTACATTTTCAATGTGTTCTTAGCAATATTCTACTTAAGTAAAATCAGTGGCACGAGCTGAAAGTAGGGAACGGCTGGACGGGGGAAGAAGAGTGGAGTCAGTAAGAAAAGCTGCCAGATTTGTGCTAATGACACAGACAGGAGCAGATAGCCCTTGATGTTAGGTGCTTCTTGGAATGTGCTATAACTTAAAATTCCATGATTAAACAATAGCTGTCAAATCAAAGCATAAAATGTGTATCTCCCTAAGAATGTCTACGTTATTTCTAGTTAACTGAACATTTGCTATAGCTTTCGAAGTTTAGGTTAAATATGGAGGTTGTCAAAAGCAGGAATAGAATCTTTCTCAGTAAGTCAACTCATTAAAAATATTCAAATTATTTAAAATTCAGAGGATGTATTGTCCTACATCTATGTAGAGAGGACAAAGTAATTTATTTGTATATGATTATCCTTGAACTGGAAAAAAATGTCATTTCTTTCATACGTAATTACACACCTGTAACTGATTAGAAAAATAAACTTAGCAAAAGCATAAACGACTACAACATTACTTTCCCTTTTAGGGCAGAATCAATACTATGTGTCTATTTGAAATGACACCTGTGAGGTAAATGGTTCTCCAGAAGTGTTGGGGTATGTGTCTGTCCACAGAGACAACGTGCTTCGTGGAGGCCAGTAGATGGCCACCAACCTCTACTCACCTTGACACTTTCTGACCATTTCCCCGGGGCAGAGACAGCTAATCTCTAGTCTTTCCTTTTCCTAATCAGTGGAGTCTAACTTTACTACTGTAGGTCCCTTCTACTAGAGGTAAGTCTAGGTCACCTGAGCACATTACTCTGGCTAATGGCATGTAGGTCTTCAAAAGCTTGCATTCTTCTGTTACCTCTTCTTCCTGCCTCCTGAACTGTGGAAGTGATGGTATGAGCTGTGACAGCCATTTTGAACCACAAGTTAACCTTGAGGACAGAGGTTAAACATAGACTGTGACATAGAAATACAGAAAACAGGCTGTCTAATGACCATGGGGGCATATCTAGACTTGTCTATGTGTGATCATAACTTATGTGTTTAGACACTGTTACTGTGAGATATTCTTTCCCATCTAAAGGCTTTTAGTGAAGGTCGGTAAACTCAGTGATTGTGATTAGTTTACACAAATACAGTACAGTTCATTTGGATACCACTTTCTACAAAGAGAACACACACAATCAGAATTTTTTACTTAGAAAACAACTAAATTAAAAAAAAGTCTATAATTAAATGCAGGTAGACCAAAATATCCTGAGGAGAATTTGTAAGGTTTTGCTGTTATTGTTTGTTTATACTTCCACATTCTCTAGTACAATGTTCATTTTTATAGTTCATTCTTCTCTAACCCTGGAAGAATCAAAAATAACAAAACAAGACCCAACTAAATTGGCACCACTAAAATGAACCCTGATTAGAAAAGGTGCCGGGTGGATCAGGTGACAAAACACCATTCTTCTTCAGTCTAGCCACTTTGTCTATTGTAGCATTTTAAAAGCTGATAAAATGAAATTTAAACACTAGCAAAACCAATGTCTAATGAGACTACTACAATCTCACTTTGCCATCAAATAAGCACACTACACCTAGCTCGGCTATTCTTGACACTGGCAGGAGAGAGGGATGACAACACAGCCCTGGAGCACAATTTCTGCAATGATTTTTTTGTTTGTTTCTGGGCTCATCATCAAAGCAATGGCAAATTACTCAGTCACTGCAAATATTCAGGTATTAGCAGAATTTCAATTTCTTAGAGCTAGTTTATGTTTGAGGAGAAATATATTTGATAAAATCTATAACTAGGAAGATGTATTTTATAATTCAAACAATTTAAAACTGTATATCTCTAATTTAAAATTTGAGCCAAATATACAAATTTACTGCTAGAGGTTTAAAAACATTCCTTAAACTGGCCATGTGTTTAACAAATTACATATAAGACACAAACCCCCTGATAGCCCCACTGAAAACAACTGCGAGTACCATGAGAAGTCACAGGCATTTTCTCTTTGGCCTGCAGACCCTTTTACCTGCGGTTGCAATGATCCTAGCTTCTATCTCAGACATGTCAGCACTCATCCTCTTGCCCTCAGAAGTCGGGGGCAAGCTCTCCACACTGCTCCCACGAGAGGCTCCCAAACTCAGCCGCCCGGATTCAGTCTGTTAAAATTATAGGTCAATCGAAATTACTGAAGTTCTTTACATGTAGAGATCCACAGCAGCCAAAGAGGAAGAGGACAAATGGATTTTTATGACTATGGTACTGTTTTGAGAGGGAATTTTACACTGGGAGGGAGCTAACAAAGGACAGTAAGCACAGAGACACACTGCTCAGCCATCTAATCAAACAATACAACCAACCTCAACAGGCTGAATGAGAACTCCTTAACGGGCCCAAAGACAACTCCTTAACCGGCCCATAGAACAAAATGTATTTCACACTGTGTATAGGACCCCTTAACTAGGGATGGACCACATGGAGGAAGGGGTAGGTATTATTGACAATATCAATAACAAGCAGAAAGGAAACAACTTGTTTGGTAACAACTGGCAACAACATTTCATGTCTATCACCATAAGCTCATTAGGCTGGTGCAGGGAGAAAACTTAGGATTGTTACATAATATGACAAATTATCGACCCATTTATATGTTGTTGTGACTACTAGTAAGGAAACCATGCAATTTTACTCTTAAAAAGAACAAACCTGTTGCTTTGCCTGATTTTTTAACAGTTTTGACTCTAAGCGTTTAATAGTATCGTTTGTGGCAGGAACTTGTTCCATATTAGTGTCACTTTTATTACTGGTATTTGTAGAAGCGATGTCCATGAATGAGCCTAGGAAAGCAGAAACATTTATGGCTTCAGGTTGAGAATGATACGAATGCCTCATTCAATAAATGGCAAGACAAAAAAAAAAAAAAAAAGGCAAAAGGCAAAACTTCCACACCAATGAAGACACCCTAACCAAGCCCATTTTAAATGACGGTCACAGACAACACAAGGAAGAATCAGTCAGTCTTCTAAACAGATGAGACTAGTGTAAGGACTTAACCCTGAAGTAGAGCTGGAGTTTATTAGCTGAGATGGGGAGACCAGAAGATGAGTGAGTTTGGAGGACATACCCAGAACTAAGTTTGGAAAACACTGTTTGAGTCCCTACTAGAAATCCTGTTCTGGATACACGAGGGTGGAATCCAGGCATAAGATGAGAACAAACACTCTTTCTCTTCTGGTCCCAGGCACTTCAGGAGTCACAGGTTACTGTGCAGACATGGCCAAGTCCAAGAACTACACCACAATAAGAAATCCTGGAAATGGCACAGGACAGTATCAAGAAACCCAGTCACAAAGATAGTAGTGTCTTAAAGGGTTGACTCCAAGTTCCCGAGGAACACGCGATTTGCCAAGAAGCAAAAGAACGATCTGAAGAAGATGCAGACAAAACAATGCAAAGATGTGGGAGCATGTAGAGGCCCCTAAGGCCCTTGTGAAGCCCAAGGCAGTTAAGCTAAGGAGCCAAAGGGTCCAACCACAAACACACCCTTCTTTCTTTCATCACTCACCCCAAGTCTGGGAGCAGATGTGAAGCTACATGGCTAAGGGTTGTAGGCTCTGCCAACCAAAGCTCAGGTTTAAACCAAGGCTGAGGCTGCAGCACCAGCTCAGGCTCCAAAGGTGCGGGGCTCCTGTGAAGACCCCATAGAAAAGGCTTCTATCAGCCAATATGAAGACAGATGGACTGAAGTGATACACCTACACACTATTTACAGATAGTCAGTGCCTATGATGTTTTTACAAATAAACCTGAGACAAGATCTGCTAGGAGAGAGGGAGAGGAGAGAGGGAGAAAGAGCGAGTGAGCGACAGGAAAACAAAGTCCTGATACTGGAAGAGGTAACCAAGAAGATGGAGAAGAATGGCTAAGCGAACAAGTCAATGGCTGAGCCCTTGGCACTCTAGCACTTACAGCTGAGGAAATGAGGAACAACCAGCAAAGAAAACCAAGGACAAGCGGGGGGACAATCTCAGAGACATGGTGTTTGTTTAGCATTCACAAAGTCTTAGGTTCTGCTTGTTTTGCAAAGCAAAATAATACCAAAACAATACAACAAAAACCCCTAGGTGACCAGAAATGTAATATGAAATTCAGATTAGCCTTGGGTCCAGCACAGCAAATGAAGAGAGTATAAGAAGGGTGATGAATATGCGAAACATTCATTAGCATCAACCGTGAATATAAATTCCACTCATCTGCATAGTCATACAGAGATAACTAGTGACCTCCACAAGAATAATTCTGCAGTAGTAGTGTAAGAGAAGTCTAAATGAAGTAGATGCTAGTAGAATGGGGTGAAGGGAGTCAGCCAGCGCAGCTAAATAAGACTGTATTTGTTCTTGAAATGTTCCCAGTAGAAAGACAGAAAGTCATGAGAGGAGAGAAAGTTATCTATCTACCTGCTGGGAAGGATAGATATTGTATAATGTATTAGCAGAGAGTCTTGCCTTTGAGTAGAAGAATGGGCAGTCAGAAAAAACAGAAAAGAGAGAAGGTGGGCACCATTCCAAGTAGCTACGAAGACATGGGGACCGTGTAGGAGCTGCCTTCTGATGATGCAAACTTTCTTAAACAGAAAACAAGGTCACTCTACAGCATGGACTAGCAAGATAGCTGAGCTTTTAGGGGAGAGGCTGATGTCTAAAGCAAGTTATCTAGGAGACGAGAACTGCATAGTGGCACTAAGCATTCATCTGAGGAAGGAGGAAGCTGAGAGTCAGGTAGACCTGTAATTTAGCTAAGCAAGTGGAGAGATGAATTCCATCACTGAGTATGATTTCTGAGGGATCATCATTGACCAGAATTAAGTGGACAGTGAAAGGAATGAAAGTCAGAAGAGAAAAAATAAATAAATAAAAAGAAAGGGAGTTCTGGAAAAGATCACGGCAGAATTTCAGGATAATGCAAATGTTTTCAGTAAAACTGAATTTGAGCATCACTAGTCAAACAAAACCTCAAAATAAATAAACCATCTCAAAATGGGGGAGAAATTAATGAACATATTTGTGGGCAAAAAAGCAAAAATTTAAAGGAGTACACACATATTGACATGTACATGGTTCTCTAGATGAAACTAAATAGATAACAAAATGCCATATATTTTGCAAACAGCAATTTCTCTAAGTTAGAGTACTAGTTCTATTTTTGATAACCTCAAACTACCACTTAGTACTTTTACTTTATATTTCAGAAAATCAAACTTTTAATTAAAGCTGTTTCTTACATAAGTCTCTTTAGAAAAAAATTAAAAAGCAGAACAGAGTTAGTGAGGAAACCCAATGTTCACAATAACCTGTAGTCCTGTCTGACCCACATTCATACAGAACCTGCTGGTGTGGAGGCATGTATCTAGTCTGAGAACTAAGGAGGTTTTTGAGACAAGATCATGAATTTGAAGTTAGCCTGAACCATACGGTGAGTTCTGGGCTGGTCTGGATTCAAAGTGAGACTTTATCTCAAAAAGATGAAATTAAGAATCAATTTAAGACTAGCATTCACAGCAACGTCATATTCAGTCCTTTACCCCTAACTAAGCAGTAACTCTAGACATGGAAGCAGGTCTTTGACTGCAGAAACTTCATGAAGAGGGAGGCACCTGGCAACTCAAACTGCAGTGAATCTAGGGAAATGAGGAATTAAAATGAAAACACGGACATCCCTTTTTTTATGACAAATTTCTTAAGACAGAGGGGAAATCCTGATGTTGCTCTGATGTCATCTGTTTACCTGTGCTGGTGGCTGAGTTGCTCTGCCCTTCATCAGAGTACTGACAAGGATACTGCAATGGCTCGTCTGCTCCTGGAAAGTACTGTAGTAAAAGCAAGTCACAATTCAAACTGCCGTTAGTACATGGTAAACCCTGTTACATGGATGCAAGAGCACATCTGTATCACTGCTTTAGTTTAAGGTGCAGAGGGATGGACACAGCCCTGCTTTCCTGCAGGTGTGAAGTGAATGTACGACTTCTGTTTCTGATGAGACAAAGATGGTGACAGTGCTCCTTTCAGAAAGCTAGCTGCGACAATGCCATGTACCTACGTAATCATTGCGATGACAGTAAGCCAAAGCTCTCTAGAGGAGCACACAGAACAGAGGGCTCACTGCTCCTAAGCACACTGGACTTGGAACAGCGACATACATTGACAACTGGCAGTGAACACTTCTGAATCACCTTTAAACCAGTATTTTAAACATTAAGAACACACCTTATTGAAGCCCCCTTATGACCTGGGGATATAATACTGAAATTATTTACTGAACAATAAGTAAAATATAGGGCAAGATTTCTTTTCCAAATTAGACAAAACAGGTAAATAGTTACTAATTTGACTTACACAACCTAAAGTGTACAAAGCTAAGTTAAAGCTACCACTTATGGCTCTTGTTAAAAAAATAGTCTGTTTTCAATAAAAGGAAAAAACATCCTAAAATATGTGAACCCTGCAGTTAAGATTTGTAGAGTAGGGAATTTGATTATCTTGTTAAAAAAGGTTCTTCTAATTTAAAAGATTCCATCAGGCCTAGAAAAACAATTTTGGTTTTATTGCCATTTGAAAACATTAAATCAAAATCCAAAATGGGAAGCATTAAAATTGCTCAATTATATCTCTTAAAATACATCCCCAGCATACTGTAGAAATGATTGTATCTTGATGAAAATCTGATGAACTTAAGTTAAGCAAGTTATTAATCATATCCATGTAGGCACTGATGAGCCTCAGACAACCTAGCACCTCTCACAAACTCTGGTACCCAGGAACAAAATATTCACCTACAAATGTTAGTAAGGACAGAATCCCAGAAACCTGTCTAACGATCTTGTTATTACAGAGATAAGCATTTTCTAAAGTAATGTTTTTCTCTTCTGATAATACGAGTAAATAAATAAATGCCTATTCTAACTTTAAAAACACAGGAAAGTATAATGCAGGAAATAGTTCCTATTCTTTCATTTTAAAAGTCTATTAAAACTCAGTATATAGTAAAGTCCCCCCAAACCCAAAGCCCCTCAAAAGAAGGGTTATACCCGCATCAAGTGAGTCATAATTTTCACAATTTCTTCCATTGAAGGGCGCTGAGAAGGGTCTTTAGACCAACAGCGGGTCATCAGACTCTCAATAGGCTTAGGTAAGTTTTTGATCAGTGGTGGTCGAGTACCTATAATTGAAAATTAGAGGAAATATAAGAATTGTCTATCCAAAGAGCATTGCAAGACTTTTATAGTTTATTTTCAACAATATCTGAATTAGCATTTTTTTCTCTTTTAATTTACCATGTATTGTATCTATATATATTTTCACAAAGGGCAAACTATAACAAAAGTTACATTAGAATTTGTAACACATGGTGATAAGAACAGAGAGACTAAGACTGCTTCGCTTGGGCTACGTGTATGCCTTTAATTAGTGCTTGTGAGGCAGAGGGCAGCAGAACACATGGGTTCTAGTTCAGCCAGGGCTGCATAGAGAGACTCTGTCTCAAAACCCCAGCCAAACAGTCATATGCACTCTTTTAAACAGCAAAGGTCTGTAGGAGTGAACCCCACAAAGCTATCCGCCCAACAGGGCGGGGTCAAGGTAGAGATAAAAGGAAGTGAAAGGAAAAGGGGCTTCCCTTTTTTCTCCTGGACTCCTAGTCCCACCTATCTAGATTCCCTATTGGCCAGACAGTGCTTTATTGACAAATGCACTTCCTTTTATCTCTACCTTGACCCCGCCCTGTTGGGCGGATAGCTTTGTGGGGTTCACTCCTACAAAGGTCAAAGGCATTCGTTAGGAAAAATAAGTAGCTGACCCTGAGGAATGATGAATTTTCAGATTACAAAATTTTAAATGTGTTTGAAAAAGATCTTCCATTTATACAAGTGATCAACTACAATGTCACACTGACTTCCCTTAACTATGGTGTCACACTCACTGACTTCCCTGAGTTGTGGTCTCACACTCACTGTTTTCCTCACCTCTGCTGTCACACTTAACTTATTTCAATCAACCAGTATTAGACTCACTCAATTTCCTCATGGTGTCACACTCACTGACTTCCTTCACCCACAGTGTCATACTTACCAACTTTCCTCTGCTGTATTGTTGCAGTTAGCCATTTTACAACACAGAAAGTGCCAACTTTTTATAATTTATTAAGCCTGCAGTGGCATTGGTAAGCTTCCCACACTCAAGAGTTGCTTCAGATACAATACGATCTTTGTAGGTTAACCTATCAACAAGTTAGTTCTTTTACTCTGTTACCTCACTGACAAGCATTTGCTGAGAACTGATAGCCAGATGAAGCACACCATCTTGGTCAAAGCTCCTGTATTTTCTACGACACTACAGGATATAACAAAGTTGGCAGAGGAAATTGGTAAACAGTCAAGATTACTCTGATGGTTTGGTTTGGCCAGCCTACAAAAGCTCTAAAGACTTAGATAGGTGTTTGTTCTTTGATCACCTGTAGACTAGTATACAAACACGTACTCACTGGAATGATTAGAGGCATATGAAGTAACGGTGATAACTGTAGTTCCTTATAAAGAGTTTCTTTATCAAAGAAACTGTGAAGGACCTACTAGAGAGGAAGTTATCTGAACACATTTATGGAGGTCAGAGAAACATAACACTGCGCCCATTAAGTCACCCTAATGAAAAGTAGGAGCACTTACATCTGAAGGACCTGCATGTGGATCCCAACTCCATCACTTACTACTTGTGATGTTAGCACTGTAAGCATGGTTGAGAATATACAACTAAAACGTGTGTGAAACACTGAATGCTGTGCCCTTTGGAGCTTAAGTAATAACTCTTACCAACAGTTTTGCTTGAGAGACTTGCTTTCCAGGAGACAGGGGCCTAGTGTCCCAGCTATCTCAACGATATGAGAGATTTCATTTATCTACTTTGCCGCAATGCTTCTCCAGCCCTGGGAGAGATAAAGGTGCTGGCTAAGTACTGATGGTCCTTCCCTAATCAGTGCAGTTGGCAGCCTCGGCCCTATGCGGAGGAGTCTAAATTCTCCCCACCAGAACCAGAGACAAAGGAATGCAGAGAGCTAAAGGAAGATGGTCTGGTAAGGAGTAAGTCTATATTTCAGTGTCAGATATACATGGTCTCTGGGGAAGAGGATGGGAACAGTTTCCCAAATATGAAATATACAAATTATATTCAAGAAAAATTTCTTTTGACAAACCATTATGAACAGCCCACATGATTCGGAAAGCTGGGCCACCGATCTCATCAAAGGGTTTCCGGCGTGTTATCACTTCCCAAAGGATAATACCCCAACTGAAGACATCACACTTTTCACTGTAATTACTACCTATAAAAAAAGGCAATGTCATTTTAAGACCTGTTCCACAGGAATCATAGAAATAACTCGTTTCAGAATTTGTAAAGGAATGGGTATTTTGGATAAGAGACTGTCACAGGCAGAGTTAAGCAATTACTTTCTTAAATATTTTCAAAATACAGTTTAATGAATTAAATATAAACAATATACTCAAAATCTACATGAGAAAGCCAGTTATTTTCTACTTTTTCAATAAAATACATTGTCCTTTCTTTTGTGCAGACAAATCTCTTTTATAGGCATAGTTTGAAACACTTTTATATTTCTTTCTGTAAGTTTTCAATTTCTTTTTGAAAAAGACTTATTTGTTTTTATTTTATGTGCACGAATGATCTTTTGCCTGTATGTATGTCTGTGTACCATGTGAAGCAATGCCCAGGGAGGTCAGAAGAAGTCATCAGGCACCCTGCATTTGAAGTCACAGACCTTTGTGAGCCTTCTGTGGGTGCTGGGGATTGAACCTGGGTCCTCTGCAAGAGCAACAAGGGCTCTCTGCCTCTGAGTGACTGCTCCAGTCCCTCAACTTCTCTTCCGAGTACTTGTTTGGAGATGCAAGGCAGGGCCTTTTTCATAGGAAGCATATGTTCTGTGGCTGAACTAACTTGTAACCTCAGTCCTTTCCCTGCCCTGTTACAGTCACCATTCTTTGCTAGGACAGCAAGGCACTGCTCTAACTTAGTGGCTTCCTCCTTGATACAGTTAAAATTCTTAATTTAAAAACCACAAGGAAAATTTAAGTGATTCAAATTATAAGTGACAAATGCAAATAATGAACAAAACTGTATGATGGAGGATACACCAACATATTATATATATACCCCAAACTACTACCATCAACAAAAAATCCACACCACAATTACTGTAACGACAGATCTGCATGCAAAGAAGCACACAGTAATATAGAACTGCCACCATATAACAACCTAATTTAAGCTACCGCCACTGCCTGATGACATTTTTCAGAAAGTTGGAAATTTACATAACCTAACAGTCTGGACTTTGTCACCCTCAACGGAAACGATGATTACTCTTTATAATAAACCCCCTTGCTTTATTTACTACAATATTATACCACTACATGCACAGAAAGTGACATTAAATAAGTGACTGAATTATTAGAAAGGACACTTACATTATTCAGATGAAAGAAAAGGCATTATTTAATTTTATGTAATTAAACATCTTTAGTTCAATACTTTTTTTTTCTTTTTTGAGGCAGGATCTCTCCATAGTCCTGCCTGTCTTGTAATTCATGGCCTCAAACTCAAAGAGATCTGCTTGCCTCTAGTCCAACAGTTTGTAATTGGCCTTCAGAGAACAACAGTGCTAGTCAAGTGACAAGCTGCATAGCATTTCCTTTTCTTTGGGAGTGGTTAAACACACAGCAACAACAACAACAAATTAAAATTCACCATCAAAATAAAATGAAAATGAAAAAGAAAAAGAAAAAAGAAAAAAGCAAAGCCCCACACCTGGTTGTGTTGGCCTAGCACTCAGGACGCAGAGGCAGGCAGATTTTGGTGAGTTCGAGGCCAGCCTGGTCTACAGAGCAAGAGCAAGTAACCAGACAACCAGGGCTACAGAGAAAAACTCTGTCTTGAAAAACAAAACAAAAGCAAAGGCCCTAAGCAGAGTCTGATTCTTAAATGAACTTTGAATATTATGGCATTCATACAAATGGAGATAGATGCTCACAAAGCCCATTTATTTAGCTCAGTGTCTCTCATTTAAAAGAGAACTGGATGTTTTCAAACAGAAATAAAAATATGGACTAATCTTATGGCTTCTGAGTGGGCTATGGGGATGTGAAAGAGCAAATGTTAGCTTACCCTTTACCAGTAGATCTCAGTACTACTGTATCTGCACCCAGTGACTTGCAGTCTTTTTAAGGCACGCCCATTTAAACCTTATTGCTCTTAATTTTTAACTAATAGAAAATCAGTGCAAAGGACCAGTTGGTTCTCCATAATTTGGGCATATACAGTCTAATAACAAGTTTCTATAATCACTGAATCACTGCTCTTGGGGGGAAATATAGGACTAGGTTTTAAGTGTCTTTGTTCATGACAGTTTTGTCAATTAATCAATACATGACCTTGTCTTACAAGACACTTAACACTTCAGTAGTTCATTAGTGTCAAACTCATGGCACTCTAGATCACATCTGAGAGGACACCCTCTAACATGTATTTGCATGTATCTCACGTATTCAAAGACTTCTTGTACTTAGGTAGCACTACTGGAGATAGTGTAAACAGTAAAATCACCATGACCACCAACCAAAAAATAAAAAGCATGGGTCTGAATAAATTGCAAAAGGGTCCCTTATTACCTTATCAGGGAAATAACCTTGGAGAGGGCGAGGTATGGCTCAAAATGTGTACTGTTGTACATGAGTACCTTGTTTCCGGAACAGTTGTGGAAGCATCTCAACTAAAGTTTAGCATGTAGATGGCTTCCCAATTATGTAACCTGTGAACAATGAGGATTGGCTGTATATGTGTGAATCTCCACAGAGAATACTCATTTCAATTCTGCCATAAAATGTGGGGTCTTAGGCTATTCACTTAATAACCTTTTATGTACTATTAAGAAGTACACTCTATAGAGTGTTATAAATGCATCCTGGATTTACATAATTAAAGCAGATTACCAATTGTATCATGCTTTTGTGATTGTACCTTCAAAAACTTCAGGTGCCATCCAAGCAGCACTCCCTTTATTATTGGTCATATGTGTCTGGATGTCACAAGCTGTACCAAAATCGCAGATTTTTAGAACTGTCCCTCCTGCAACCAGCAGCAAGCTATTATAAAAAATTCAAAAGTCACAATGTCAGCATCTGATTTTATAGTAAAAGAAGAGATAATCGTGGGACTGGAGAAAGCTAAGATAAACGAATGCTATCATTACACTTCTTTAAAATGTTACTTGGTCACTGTAATGGCCCAACAATTTGGAGGAATATCAACAAAAATTAAATGACCATAACCTAGAGGACTCAGGGAGACCATCATATTCAAATGTTCTTTGGCTGAGCTAGATACAGGTTTAAAAGCTTTCTACAGTGCAGCACTATGATGTCCTGAAGTGGGAGTCTAATCACTAACATTTATTTCTGAAAGAATTGCAACATACAATAAGGCAAATAATCTAATAACCAATGTGTTTATTCAATGTTAAATATACATTTATTCAATGTTTAATATCAATACCATTTATGAATTTAGAATGTGGGGGGAGAGGAATATGAATCTTGTATAGTTACAACAGCTTAATAAATGCTAGGAATGTTTCAGAGCTTCAGCTGTCTAGGTGTCAAATGCAACTACCAATCATTATCCGTTTACTTACAAACTTTACTTTTGACAACAGACAGAGCTAGAGATGGGTCGTAAAATGTGCATAATCATACTGTAGTAACTAGTCAATAGAAAGTTAATGAAAACTCCTTGCAATTATACAACTCATTAGCTTCTTGTACGTAACGTCCCACTTAAACTCTAATTAGAGATTTAGGAAAGTCTCTTTTAATTTGAAGTGATAACAGTAAGAAGGTAAGCCACTATTCACACAATGCCAAACTTCCAAACACTTTTGTCATGTTTCATCTTTCATATGTATGCAATTCAACAACAAAATTTCTGTCTCGTTCTTGCTTAGACTCTTGTCCAACCTTTTTAAAGGTTCTTTAAGTGCTAGGATTCTCACTCACTATGGAGAAATCTGGGCTGTTTGCATCTCTACCCAGATTCAGAAAGAGTTTGCTCTCTCTAAGAACAAGAACACCAATGGTACAGGTCTGCAGTGTCTACCATTTGCGGATCCTGTCCTTGTTGGGAATGCAGCAGGAATAGTAAGTCAGATTTGTCACTGCTCTCAGAAAACTATTTTATACACTACATGTACAAAATGGGACTTACAGGGACTTACCAGATTCTAATTATTGTAATGTAAAGTTGGAGTTAATAAAAACATCCCTCACTGACAACTTTCTAAAACATGTTTAGATAAATAGCTAAATGATACATGTTAAGTAAAAAACAATCATGTAAATAAAAACGGAAGAGAAAAAAGAAAGTCAAGAGTGACAGTGTCCTTGAACTAGGGATGAACAGGGATGGCAAGAGGAGAGATGCCAGGTCACACCACTAAAACTTACTTTGGAGGCTTGAGGTCCCTGTGAATTAGAGCTTTGGGTTGCATGCTGTGCAGATAAGCCACTCCTTGGGAACACTGTAAACACCAACTCATGGCATGGGCAGCAGTGTAGTAAGGCAATGGTTCAGCACCATGCAGCACTGCAAAAGAAAGGCACAACAAACTAAAAAGAACTTTATTGCACATAACATGAAACAACAAATGCAGGCACATTAGACACACAAGTGAGTATTCTTTTGCAAATAAACTAGTCCTGCTTTTAAACCTATTCTAGACTAAAATGACAACATATTTAAGAAATTCTAGTAGATAACTCCCATAATTCAAACAAAATTAATAAACACTACCATACTTCTAAAAATTGAGTATCTTTCACACAATCACATAAATTATAAGCAATCCTATTCAGGACGGTGGGATAGAGAAACAGTAGTGAAACAAGATGGCCATGTCAGATTCTTACAGCTGTACTGTGTACTGTAGCTAGAAATTAGTAGTTCTCTCAAATAAAATTAGAGTACTACACACATATTAACACTGAAGAACACAAGTCAGTGAGAATAACTAAACGTCTGTGTAAAATCATGGTAACCGAAAAGTAAATGCTGTCAATTTTATAAAGCGTACAGGGACAACTCACACATATGTGAGGTTAGTATTTTAGGGTAAGAGCTTTGTTCCACAATGGTAATGCCAGCACACAAGTTTTCTTTCATGGGAACTGTGGTGGTTTGAATGAGAAGGATCAGTACAGACTCAGATGTGTAAAAATTTGGCCTTCATATGATGGAATTGTTTGGGAAGGATTAGGAAGAGGAGGCATGTCGACGAAGGCAGGCTTTGAGACTTCGAGATTCAGCCATGTTCAGTGTGCTCTCTGCCTCCTACTTTCAGATGAAGGTGTTAGTTCTCAAATGCCCCAGCTAACGTGCTTGCTGTCACAATGTCACACCCTTTGAAATCAAACCTCAGTTCAACACTTTAATAAATTGCCTTGATCATGGTTACAGCAATAGGAAGGTATCTAAGAAAGTAACAACTTAAAATGTTCAGTGAAGTGAGTTTCACCATTTCATGTTTTAAAAGAATGCACAACAAAGCATGGTGAAATGAAGTGTAGCTAAAGAGTTCTAAACAAAGGCTCAAAACTGAAGGGATGGGAAGAAAAATGTCTGAACATATTTTAAAATCAATTTAAAAAGCAACAGTTATTTCAGACTTTGAACATAATAAGAATATTGCTTGACTTGAAAAATGTATATAAATGTCATAGTATCTTTCTTGCCCTAAGTCCTTAGTATTGAAAAAGACCAAACAACAAAATGAACTCTGTGAACTCTGATGGCAAATATCCTTCTTTAAGCTGCAAATGTGTGTTGCTTTTTATTGGTTAATGAATAAAGCTGCTTTGGCCAATGGCAGGGAAGAATATAGCTAGGCGGGAAAGCAAATCTAATATAGGGAAGAAGGCAGAGTTGGAAGAGTTGCCATCAGCTTCCCAAGGAACAACATGCCAGATCACTACCAGTAAGCTAAAAAAGATGAATAGAAATGGGTTAATTTAAATGTAAAGCTAGCTAGTGATAAGCCTGAGACATTGGTCAAACATTTATAATTAATATTAAGAGTGGTTATTTGGGAACTGGTGGGTGGGAGAGAAACCTCCAGCTACAATTTTGGTTTTATTAAATACTTTCCAATTGCTTCAACCTACTAGCTAAAGCAGGTTTTAGCTGATACTCACCATTGTACAAAGAGCCTCCTTCAGCATATTCCATAACAAGACATACCTAAAGGAAACACAACAGAATCAACTGGAGTGACATTGTTGGGTCCTCCCTGCAGATAACTTAGTTTAACTGTCTAGCTGCTTTGAAAATGATTCCTTTGGCCATTACTATGTAAATGACACTAATAGAAGAAATAAATATATGTGATCTAAGAACTTGTCTTCTTGGTGCCTGCTAAGAGTATGTATGTATGTATGTGATTCTATTTTTGGGGACACAAAATAGAATCACAAGACCTTTTGAGAACCTTCTCCAGTGCTAATAAAGACATGTTACAGGACATCAAGTCTTATAACACGGTGAGTTACTGGCAATGTAGGTTGGTGAGGAGGACAGACATAGAGTTATGCACTACTCCATGACAGCACAGGCTTTTATTCACATGGGGTCTAGTATAGGAAGAAGAGCTCACTGCTTGCTTACAAGCTGGGGTAGTTTCAGGGCAGAAAAAGGAAGGGGAAGGACTGAAAAGTTTCCTTTTATGGCCCCTCATTGGTCATTGTCAGGTTAGCTAAGGAAATAAGATGAGTGGTAACATAAGGAATGTCAGGTGATCTCCTTAGCCAGCAATTACTGGGGTCCATAGATTGGGAAGGAAAGAATTTAGAAAAACAAATTGCTTTAGTTCTGGAAATCAAATTAGTTTTGAGAACTGTTGTTATTTACTCAAAATGAAGGAGCTGTATAAAATGGTGTGGCCAAGGCTAACAGGCACCTGAGACAACTCCACCTGTTGTGTTAAGATTAGAAGCAAATGAAATTCAAGAAGTGTGACATTTTCAGAACTAAAGCAAAGATAGAGCAGATTAAAACAGCTACATATAGTACATAAACTGTATACATTTGCCACATTATTTCCTACATTGTACAGATAACAACAGGAGGGACAGGACACTTACTGGATTTAAGCAGGCTCCATACAACTTCACAATGTTAGGATGGTTCACACGAGATAACTGCCTGAGCTGTAACAGATTACGGATTCTTAAAAAGTGCTAGTTCTTGAGGTGCTTATTTTACTATGCAGTTCAAATCTTACTGTCATACAGAGCATCCGTTTAAATCATTCAGTAACTTCTGTTTACCAAGTAGCAAGCACTATGGAAATCCCCAGTGCCTGCCTGGAATCCCTGTCCTACAGTTCAAATGGAAACACAGACATAATCAAATATATTAAGATAGAGTAATCATTAAACCATGCACAAATTTCTATAATGGGAGTAAAGAACGAGTTAGGATAAACATAGAAGAAACCAGCTGCTAAAAGTCAGGGCATTATCCCAGACATGATACTGAGTTACCCACAGCAGAAGCTGTGTTATTTTCATTACAGTTATAGGTGATCAATTTACCTATTCTGTACCTGCTCCTAGATTTCTTGTCTCTAAAAGATAGGTACTATTACTTCCATTTTAAATATGACAACAACTTGCAAGTTAGGTTCCAGAGAGAATAAAACAGCTGTTACAAGATTCTACAATCAGGATTTGAACTTCAGTTTATCTGGCACGAAATACACACTCTTCCTGAATAGCTGCCTCCAAATCCATTTTCTCTCTTAGAGTTACTACAGACAGCTGGGAGAAAGTAGGTGTTATCATTCAGTTGGACAGCACTTGACTAGCATGCCTTAGGCTCTAGTTTCAACCCACAGTAAAACCCAGGCCAATCCCTAGTACAAATGAGGTGGGGGCCCTTCAGGGGTGGGAGAGACTGGCACTAACTTATGGTTTTAATTTTCCCTGAGTCAATTTACTCTGTTCCACATCTCAAATTTCTACATTACATGTTTCTCACAAAACAGCATATTGTTTTCTCCCTTTCCCCTGCTCTTTCTCCTTCTTCTCTCCAGTCACATGCTACTGGCTCATGGAAGCTCACCAATGTCTCTTAACTTTTCTATCATATGCCACTACAGTTTTCTTTACAGTTGATATTCATGAAACTATTATGCATTTATTGTATATACTTATATTCCATCTCAACACTGAACTTCACAGAGCACATTATTCAAGTGTTTATTCCTGTTTTCTGAGTCTTATAAAGTAAGTACATTTTTTGTTGTTGTTTATAAGACGTAAACTCAGAAGGATAACGAGAATCTGAAATGATACAACAGTATACAATTTTGGAAGTAGACAAGCTAGAGACTAGTAGTAACTGACCCACCAGACATAAACATAAGCAGTGAAAACAAGAGAAGCAACATGATTTATTTCACAAAACCCCCATTATGCAGAAGAAACTCAAAGTAATAAAATTGATGTTATTGCTTAGGAGACAGGAATCACACAAAGTAGAATTTAGCTAAAAGATTGCTGCCTCCAAAATACCCCCTAAAAATAGTATGCTAACCAGCTTCTAGAGATAAACACAATTTACAATGCTGGATGTAAATGTTTGTTCACCAAGATCCACCAGCCAGTAGGCCCATCCCCAAAGAACACATCTCTAACTGGCAGCTCAGGGTCACCACACCAATGTTAAGTCCTCAGCTGCCATAAAGCCCTCAGGTCTTTTGAGAAAAACTTCATTCTGCCAGACAGGCAAAATGACCCTGGATAACAACTATTTGAAAAGAAAAACACTGGTGTACTTGAAAGAATTCTGGTGCTGTGTAAAGCTCCCATCTGTATAAGTAGCCAGACTTGTAGTCTCCTGTCTTTATTTAAGTTGTTCAAGGTGTAACCTGGAACTGGGACTTAACAGAGATTTAAGGATAAAAGCTTATGTGAAATGCAAAAAGCCTACTGTGTATATAAGCTAGTAAAAATATTTGAGGCCAGCTCCTCTTCAGGTGTTAGCCACAGCTGACCTTGCTTTTTCAGTAAAGAGCTCTTTTTGCCTTTATTATCTCTAAGTGGCTCGAGTAGTTTCTCACTAGAAAGGTGTGTTGTCTCTACAAAAGTCTAAGAGATTTTTAATTTTAGGTAATGGGGAAGAATACCATTTCAAAATTAAAATACAATCCCTTGAAACAGGTTTGGAGTCCATGGATGAAAAACGTATTCCTAGGGCACGACCTTTAGCTCAATCACATTGCTGAGGTTCATGCACACAAGAATATGAGAACTGAGAACCACTGTCTTTTGTCCCCTGAAGACCAGTGTCTGGTGAAATACCGTGCAGATGTGACATTGCAGCTTACCTCCACAATGAAAGCTTTCCTCTCAGATTCACTCTCTATCTGCTTAATTGCGACATCTTTTGCTCTCCATTTAGCTTTGCAAACTACTCCAAAGGCTCCTCTTCCGACAACCTTAGTTAACAAACAAAACACCCAAAAATCAGAAGCAGGCCAGTTCAGTATGAAACAGGCAGTTTTAAAGTCTCATCAAAGGTTTAGAAACCACCATTATCTGAATTTCCTAAGTATGCATTTTTCATGAAATTGAAGATAAAATGCAGGCTTAATCTTTGAAACTAACTTCTTCATTCTCAAGTAAAAACAAGTAATACAAGAAGAAATAAAGAAATTTCTTAATCGTGATAAAAAATTAAAGGCAAGATGATGTGGTTTAGGAAAAGAAAGATAAAAGATTAAAAAAACCATATTTTTAGAAATTAAAACCAGCTTTCAAATAACCAAATAGGGGTAGGGGATGGATGAAGACAAGATATGTATGATAAAAGACTCACTACGAAGTACCCACAAAGTGTTATTGTCTGTACAATGAAATATTGTTAAGCAAGTAAAATAAACAAATCTGGCTACATGCAGCAACATGGATGAACCTCAAACACAGTATACTAAGTAAAACAAACAAACAAACAAACTCACATACAAAACCTTTGACCCTCAATACCACATATTTCAAGGTTCATTTATAAAATGTCTATGAGAAATCTAGAGACTAAGTCAGTGGTTGCCCTGAGATAAGCATGAAAACTGTAATGAATATAAATGGGTATCGGGCATCCTACCAAGGTGATGATGACATGTTTGAAAGTTGACTGTGATGGCTGACAACTGGGTAAATTTGCAAAAGTCATTAAACCACACTTCACATGGGTGAGTTTTATGATAGGCAAATAGCTTATAACTTGTTTTTTAAAAAGTTATAAAAAGACAGATCAATCACATGCCATATTATTGCTAAAACTGATGGCTATCATATGGGTACATTGCTCTGCTGTTATATTTTTAAAAATACAATAGAAAATGAAACTAAAAATTAGTTTGATGGCTGTCACATCAAAATAGACTGTTACTATGAATGGCTTAGTTACACACCATCATCTCCAATCTTCCACCTTCTATGTGGTTTCTAAGTTTGTGGCAAGGTCATTTTCTTAGGCAAAAGTCCATCTCCACTCATTAAATTTGTATGTATTTTCTACTAGTGGGCACTGAGAGAGTGCTTTGCCCACATCCCTTTTACACAGCCTCAAGAGAAGGTGTTAATGTTTTCATGTTAGACAGAAATCACACAGCTTTAAACAAACTTTTAGTCTCTCAGGTCTACATTGGCAACAAGCAGTAGAGTACAATTAATGGCAGGCAGTCCAACAATAGAATGTCAGCGGTTCTAACACCAGGAATCCCTTGGTGATCACTTCACTGTAGACAAATTTACATACACTCCTCAACAACAAAGCTGACTGCAGCCAGAATGATCAAATGGTTGTTTTTAAAAGTCTGCATTGGATCACTTCCCAGAGGCAAAAAGGGACTACACGAGCACAGAAGCTGTAACGTGGGGTGCATGGGCAACCTAGTCATTGTCCCAATTGTACTTCATAAGTCATACAAAGCAGTGTGAATATTTCTCCTATTCAGTATTAACCATAAGATAGGTGCAGTTTGAAGTATTTTTCATGAATTACAGGTAAGCAGTCACAGGGTTGTAACTTACCCATGGCACACAGTAAGAAAGTATTAACAGACAGGATCTACACCTACAGCATGTAATTATCACATGCTATGGGCTACACTCAGGTTAAAGGTAACCAGGCTGCCTCTAGGCAAAGTCCCAAGTATCCAGGCTCTTTTGGACACTTTTCATTTCCTCATCCTGGGCACTGCCAGCCCACTGTCTTGTTCTCCATGCCTCAACTAGAACAAGAAACCAGCACTGGTGATTTATACTCACCATCTAGTTTCTTTAACAAGACTGGGAAACTGGCTTGAGTTTGGCTGCATCTGCCTGTGTACTCACTCTTACTGCTAGGTACTAAGCTCACTCTGACTGCTATATAAACTAACATCTGGGCTTTTTCTTGGCAGTAAAGCGGAGATGCTTCTATTTTCCTTAGTGAGTATCTACAGAGCTCCTAAGTTAAGTCTATCTGTAGGAGTCACAGAATCAGGCACTCACAAATATTAAGTGTTCAGGCTTAGCTGTGAATTAGTGTAAAGAGTTGAAGCTCATTTTTCTCACAGGAAATTAGCAGCAAACAGGTTTCAACTTCAGGTCATAAGAAACTAAGATGATACAGGTCATTACCAATTATGAATGAATGATTGTAAAGCAATTTAATACATTCCAACCATATACCCACAGATAATCAAAGTGACTAGTATTTAGCATTCTAAAGAACATCAGAGCCCAAGTGTTATAAGTATTTGTGGGTTATGTAGCTGTCATTACTGTGCCGAGTATGCATGATTATTTATGATTCACAAGTGCCACCTAGTGATGAAACGACCACTGACTGAACTTTCAACTTAAGAGCCATGGGAACAAAATGTCAGCAAATGGATACATGATAAACTCTTCTGCTTTGAGAAATCAATTTTACAAAATAATCTGATATAAAAAACAGTTACATTCACATCTGAGAACCCATGGTCTCAAGAAATCTCCATTTCACATACACAGTTAAGTAACAGGTTCTAAATGATAGAGAAAAGCAAGATGCCAAAGTTTCATTTACTGAAACATCTGATAGATATAATTTCATGATTTCACCGGAGTCAGTTTATAAGCATGCAGCCAGTGCTTAGATAATTATATTCTTTATGCCATACAGTCCTTTCATGTTTTCATATGGCATTAGGAGTAAAGATATTAGCTATCAGGAGTAAAAAGAAGAAATTATGTAAGAACTGACTTTTTGTGAGATGAAAAAGAAATGCAAGGCTATACAGTAATAGCACTTAGATATTTTTTCTAAACTTTTTACAAAACTGCTTAAGAATGCCAAAGGCAAGCACTAACAACAGATTCTGCAGACTTCGTCAGTCTCCCTTTCCAGAACAGGCTTAGGGAGTCAATGGAAGACATCAGTTCAAGCCCTTCCCCATCCACACCCTTCCCTTAGATTAGCAGGGCAGACATCCCCACCGGATATGCTCTATAAACATGGGCAGCTTCACGGCAGAAGACCAGGGACAAGGATGACATAGAGGAGGCCCTACCCCAGGCTTCTTTGGCCCCAGCTGAACATGGAAGTGACTCAAAAAGTCTTGCAAAAGTAGCAAAACAAGTGAAATTAAAGTCTGACCACAGGAAGAGGCTGCTGAGGGGAGGGTTGAGACCTAAAAAGGAATGAGAGCTGACCAACCACAGCTCAATGCACAGTGCAGCTGAAGTTCTGAGGACCGATGATAGTCAAGGGGAAGACTGAGCCAGCAGGAAGAAAGGCCTTTTGCCTGAGGTTAAACTGAAGAGTTTTGGACTAATGTCACTGGAAGAGATTTCAAGACTATCTAGTATTGACTCAGCTGTGTAGTTATCAGTGACCACTCTTAATCCGATTCCCAATGAAAAGGAGCAAGCAAGGCAAAAATAAATACAAAATGCAGTTTGAAGGGAAAAAAGGAACAGCAGGAAATATAATGCTGGAGGCTTGGTTTGTACTGAAAGGAGAGCCTGATTAGGAATGGAATAAAGTACCCTCAAGGTAAGACCCCACTCAGCTAATTCTGCAACTAGGAAAAAGAAAATGCCTAAGAAACTTTCTTCTAAAGCTAAGAAAATGATATTCAGCAAAGAAAAACATCAAAGCATATGCAAATTAATTCCTGGAGGGGGCCAGGTTCCATCCCAAGCCTGGAGCCCAACCTGACAGCTTCGGCCAGAGTTCTGGATTTAGGTCAGGAACAATACAATAGTAACAAGGTTGTGGAATCATCATCTGGAAAGCCACTGATATCGGGTGTGTGGCAGGGGAGCCCCTGCATGGAGGCCTGGAGCGGTTACTGCATGAAGCTGTGAAAGTGAAGCCTATATTGTGATGGAGACCCTAAGATGTTGGGATGCAAGAGCTGTGTGATGGCTGCTGAGAGAAATGCAAACGGAGTGGAGACAGCCCAAGAAAGAGTGGGAGACTGGAAGAGCCACCTAAGCTTTCTGACATCAAACAAGGGGCTATGGGTTCTAGAGTTTTCCCTGCTGGGAAAGAGTTATTACAACCTAAGTCTTAATCAGACACTAGGAAAGAACTGCAAGCTAGCATCAGCTGTTACTGCATCTCTCATTGTATTAACACACTGTATCTTCCTTCACTTGTTCTATAAAGAGCCACACATCCCACAACACACGGAACAGAATGAGTACCGTTTACTACTAGGAATGATCAAACAACATGTATACTATTGCCATTATAGGACTTAATTAGTTAAGATAGTGTACTTCCAGGGATGGAGAGATGGCTCAGGGGCTAACAGCACTGGCTGCTTTTTCAGAATCCACATGGAGGCTCACAACAGTCCATAACTCCAGTCTCAGGGGACTGGGCCCCTTCTCACCTTGGGGACACGTATGTGGCACAGATATATATGCAGGCAAAAAACTTGTGCACATAAAATAGAATATAAAAATAATCAGATTGATAATATAAAACAACACCTTGCTGATAGAGGAAATTTTCACAATTGGAAGAATTAAAAAATAAATTCTTTTGTAAATGTCAATAGCTTGGTAGCAAATTTTGTTTTCCGTATTGAGAATATAAAATGTCAGATCTTCATGAGAGAAACTAGTCTGTCTGAACCATGAAAAACCAAACCAAGAACATAAAAGAAAGTTATGACCATCGTTAAAAGGGCAAATCAATGTTGCAAACTGCAGCTAGTAACCCAAAGAGTGACACAAAAGGCAACCCTTGAGGTATAGTGATAAACTGGGGGAGACAATTACAAAATAATAAAAGCCACACTTTATTTGCTACCTCATTGTTGGGGAAGTCTTATGCTAATAAAGCACTGTCTGGCCAATAGGAATCTAGATAGGTGGGGCTAGGAATCCAGGAGGATGCTGGGTAGGAGAAACACAGGAGAGTCAACATGTGACGCCATTGGGGTAGGAAGTCCGG